TTTTTTTTTTTTTTTTTTTTTGTCTGTGTATATTAGTGTTTCCAGTTTGTAGGACACCTGGCTAGGATATACAGGAAGTAAAGAAAACCCCAGAGAATTCACTGCCTTGTATTCCCTCAAATCCCAAGGTCCCTGATCAGTATGCCATCTTTTCTCCACCTGCAAGAGTCTTTTGGTGATGATTTCAGTATTTTTGCCCAGAGATTTCTACTGTAATAAGTGAAAGGAGTAAAACAGAGTATGTTTACTCCATCATGCTCAGAAGCAGAAAGTACAATTTGCTTTAAATATGCCAAAAATAAAATAGATTGGTGAGTGGAAGGTTGAAAAGATGACTAGATATGTAATGAAGAAAGTATGGCAAAATGTTAATAGGAGAATCTAAGTGGTAGGTACATAGGCATAATCTGTAAAATCCTTTCAACTGTGCTGTATGTTTAAAAATTTTTATAATAAAATCTTGGGGGTGGGTCTTTTGGCTGAATTCAAAATGCAGGTGATCTTTGATAAATTCTACACCATAAAAATAACATAATTCCTCTGATGAGTGAAAGACAGGTACTGGATATTTGCCCTCACCAATAACTTACCAGATTAACTGGAACAAGAGGCTATTAAATAATAACAGCTCTTTGTAAACACTCTAGTGGCTGAACGCTATTTCTATTTTTAATAGCTCATTTTGTCTGTAACCTGGTCCTTAAGGCTTGTCAGCTCTTGCATCCCTTTAAGAGTAATTTCATCAGAGTTAACAAGCATAGTACCGTTGAGGTGCTTAAAGGACAGCGAAGGTCAGAGAAGGACTAAATTCATAGATTAAAATGAAAATAAAAGAGAAGAATAAACCTCAAAATTAAACTTTTTTTTTTTTGTTTTTGAGATGTAGTGTCGCTCTGTCTCCCAGGCTGGGCTGCAGTGGCCACAGTCTAGGCTCACTGCAACCTCTGCCTCCTGGGTTCAAGTGATTCTTCGGCCTCAGCCTCCCAAGTAGCTGGGACTACAAGTGCTCGCCACCACACCCAGCTAATTTTTGCAGTTTTAGTACAGACAGGGTTTCACCATGTTGGCCAGGGCAGGCTTAAACTCCTGACCTCAGGTGATCCACCTACCTCGGCCTCCCAAAGTGCTGGGATTACAGGCATGAGCCACCATGTCCAGCCAAAATTAAACTTTTGTTTTCAAATAACAACAACCTAATCAACAAACAGAATAAATGAAGGGGTCGAACTTGATGGGAATTGTGGACAGAGTTATGCTGTTGATCCCTTGAATTAACTCTAGTTGAATCTTTTGTTTATTAAGACACAAACTGACCATCTGGACATTGTAAAGGTATGCAAAGCTGTCTAGAACATGGATTCTTCTCATTTTTCCCACAGATACAGATGGGATGCTTAGCATATGTCATATAGTAGGGGGAAAGCACAGGCACTGAAATAGGACAGACTTAAATCTAAACCGTGGCTCTATTTTCTACTGACTAAATGACATTGGGTTAGTATCCCTGCAGTTCTCTGCATCTCAAATATCCCATTTGTAAAACGGAGTTAATGAATGCTGACATAAGGATTAAATGAAATGATGAATATAAAGTGCTCTCTTGCCAATCTAGAAACTTATTTAGGCACATAATTTCTCAATTATGGGGAGAATAAAATGAAAAGAGGAAGAGTTATTCTTTTCACACATTGATGAAAATTAATCAAAAGCCTTGGATGGGTATAGCAGACACCTTTTAATGGTTTCTTACATTTTCTGTCAGGATAGCTTGGAAATACCTGCCTCCTGGTTTACTTTGGCTCTTCTACTGGCCAGTTTATTCTGTGGCCAGGCTCTCTCGAGCCAAGGCAAGACTTCCAGTTAAGGCTGGGCTTGCTGAGTAATCAACAGTCCTAGAAAGTCCATAGGATGCTCCTAGGTTTTCTTCTAGAAGGACCTACCCTAAACCTATCTGGCATTATTTTCACTAGAATTGTCAACATAATGCTGTGAAATCTGATTAATAGTAGCCTCTCTCTAGTGGTTGAAACATAATTTTTTTTTTTTTTGAGACAGGATCTTACTCCATCACACAGGGTGGAGTGGAATGGCACAATCACAACTCACTGCAGCCTCAACCTCTTGGGGCTCAAGTAATCTTCCTACCTCAGCCTCCTGAGTAGCTGGGACTACAGGCAGGTGACACCATGTCTGCTAATTCTTATTTTGTAGACATAGGGTCTCACTATGTTGCCCAGGCTGGTCTCAAACTCCTGGACTCAAGCAATCCTTCCATCCCAGCCTCCCAAAGTGTTGGGATTAAAGTGTGAGCCACTGAGCCCAGCATTTTTTTTTTTTAATGGCTACCTTAAATAATTTTTTTCAAAGTAGATTCAAAATCCCTAAATATGTTGTTTGGCAAAATGCTGAAGACCCTTTTATTCCTATTATAAAACAATGAATATGACAACTAACATTTGTATAGTGATTCAACATTTACCTCATGTCTTTCATTCATAGTATTTTTTTTTTAAATCTTACAATGACCTAGTGCACGTCATTCTTAATCCAGTAGTTATGCCTCCAATTTATGAAGCTGACTCCATACAACAACCAGCTTGAGATACCTTTTCACTATGTATAAAGTAAGTCTAAAATCTTTCATTCTGGCCTGCTTTATGCTCTACTTCATGATTTGTTCTCATTCAGCTCAGGTCTATGATGACTTTAAAGGCTCATTTCACAACTTGGGGTCTGTTGCTTGCCCTCTTCTCTGGTTGTAATTTTTGGCTTCCTTCCTTAATTGTGATTAGTATCTGCCCCCACTGACTATACGCCTTAAAGTAATGATGGATAAATAATTTGGTAGGCCCAGCCACTGGGTAAACTAGTGGCCAGTTCTTCCATACTGGTTTATACACCATGTGAAACACTTACACCCTACCTAGATTTCAATTCATTCATGTTCAGTGACCACATGGGGTCTAACAAATATGGCATCAGTTTCCTCCTATTTCTCTTGCTACTAAACATTATGGGCTTTTCCTTTACCTCTGCCTTTGGCTCAGCTGATTCATTAGAGGTATCAAGTTGTTCCTTGGCTTGGGCCATCTGGGTCATCAACCTATCCATGTGGGACTGGATGTCTGCCAGTATCTCAGTCACATGAGCTGTGGCCATTGCCTCCTGGATGTCCACTAGATGAAGGGCCTTCTGCTCCTCATCGGCAATCACTTTCTGAACTTTCTTAAATTCCTGCTGTATAAACATCTTCATTTGGTCCCGAGTTACCTGTAGAACAGAGGCAAATAAGAAGAATAAGTTGAACACACAGAGAAACAAAAGGGTAGAGTTATTACTACACAGCCCTGGTTAAAATACATACCATGGATCCTATCTGATCCTGAAGTTTTGGGAATATTCTAAAAACAATGTTCCCCTAATATCTTTGATGAATTTCCTGCTAATCTTTTTGCCTTTTTCATTCTTCAGGGAGTAATTTCTTATCCTTTTTTCCTTTTTGTTTTGTTCATTTTCAGTAATATATATGATGAGCATATATAGTAAAAAATGAGGCCAGGCGCAGTGGCTCATGCATGTAATCCTAACACTTTGGGAGGCCAAGGCGGGTGGATCACCTGAGGTCAGGAGCTTGAAACCAGCCTGGCCAACATGATGAAACCTCGTCTCTACTAAAAATACAAAAAAAAAAAAAAAAAAAAAAAAATGCTGGGCATGGTGGCAGGTGCCTGTAATCCCAGCTACTTGGGAGGCTGAGACAGGAGAATTGCTTGAACCTAGAAGGCGGAGGTTGCAGTGAGCCCAGATTGTGCCACTGCACTCCAACCTGGGTGACAGAGCAAGTCTCCATCTCAAAACAAAACAAAACAAAACATGAAATTCTTCCTCTCTGCCCCAATTACTGTTAACAGTTTGGTATGTATCCTCCCAGCCATTTTTCTATATAGTTATGTACATATATGTATATAGATAATTAAGTAGGTTTTATATAAATGAATCATAGTGAAAATATGGTTGTCTTTTCTACTTAAGATATATTTGTGCATACAGATCAACTTCATTCTATTATTTTTACTATCTGTATGATATGGAGCTGGAGGGTTGTGTGTGTGTGTGTATTTCTCCTATTTAACCATTCCTCTCTTAATGGAAGTACAGGATATTTCCAAATTTTTGCTATTATAAACAACACAGCAATAAACATCCTTGGGTATATCTCTTAATATCTGCATATAAGTTTCTTTAAAGACGTTTAGAGCCACTTAGTAAATTGGCATATACTCTAAAAATATTGTTTCATACTGCCAAGGTGCCTTCTGAAAAAGATGTATTGATTACATTCCTACCACAACGTATAGCACTTCCGTACACCCTTACCAATACTGGATAATATCAAGCTTTTAAACTTTTACTATGATGGGTGCAAATATATTATTGTTTTATTTTATAATAACTGCAAACCAAAGAAAATACAACTGCTAGCTATATTTATGCTTAGGGCATAAGAAAGGCTAATGAAGTGAGAAATTATCAAAATGAGAACTTCTAAACTCCAAATTTTACCTGCATTTACTGATGTTTCCTCACAACCATGTTTAGTTTACGAGTATTTTAAAACAACTACGCATATTATGAGTGTAGCTGAGATAGGGAACAGGGAAGAAGTAAACTGTAGATGAAAGGAGAAAGGCAGAAGAAAAGTCAATAGAGGATTTTAGAACTAGAAGAGAAAATAGTTGTCATCTAAATGAACTCCTTCCTTTTTACAGATAAGGAAATGGACATAGTTGCAAACCCGCAGAAGAGGGAAAGACTCCAATCTTCTTGTTCTCAGTCTGGTGCTCTGTTCACTGTAAAAGCCTGTCAGCAGGGAAATCAAACTGGGAAAACCTAAGAAAGGAGACTGAGAAAGAGAAAGCCTAAAGGAGAGGGTAGCAGAATAAGTCATTTTTAATTAGCCTCTTAGAAACTGAAAGAAGCTTGATACCTTACGCAGCTTTTGTAACACTGCTAAGGACATCAGTGCAAAATAAGGCCTGTATGACATGTATCTGCTCACACATCAAGTGACTAAGTGTCATAAGCCCTCATACACTCTCTGCAGGTGCTCTCCCTGGTGCTGGAGAAAATGGGAAGGTGTATTAAATGTTCTTAATGTCCCCGCAAATTCTGTATCAGATTGAGAACTGTGATTTGTGTTTATATAATTTCTTTTTATGTTTAGTATATGTATTTTAGGACTATTATGCTTTACAGTGATCACTGATCAACGGATCTCTACTCCTGAAATAAACTGAGTCTTAAATAACTAGGACCTTCTATCAGAAACCAAACATTTCCACTAAGGGTTGGACTTTTCTGAATGCCTGAGAAACTCTCTTAATGGCTACAAGTAACTAACAATGGATATCTTAATAAAAACTGACTCACAACCTATTTTACTAGACCTTACATACACATGTGGTTCAGAGTTAGGAAGCTGACATCCCACTTAGTAAAGGTGTGGACCAGACTGCAGCAGGTAAGTAAGTCATGGATTTTAAAATTCTCTATTTCCCATAGCTTTATTACATAGGGTTTTCAGCATGACACTGTATTTTATACAGATCAGGTCACAAATGAAAACTGAAGGAAAAATAATCCACTCTATAAAACCTTTATGCCTTTTCCCACTCTCATTCTCTAATTAACACATAAGCATTTTCCAGCCTAAGACATCAAAACCTTTAGCGCATTAGTTACAATCAAGCTGATATATCTTTGTTATAGTTGCATTAGGGTGAAGTGCAATATGATTAAACATAGCATTTTAATGAAATTATAACATAGCACTGCAATTTGAAAAATTTGACCACTGTATGGTCAGAACTACCTATTGAACATCTGAATTCAACCTTCTAATTTTATAGGTGAAGGGGGAAAAAAGCCACAGAGAAGTATGATAATAAAGTTAGGTTTAGAAACTTTCCTCTGGTCCAGTCTAATGTACTTTTACAACTCATCATTTCCAGTGAGTTATAAACAAGACCCTGTTGAAAGAAGAAAAAGAGAAGAAGGGAGATCGAGAAAGAGAGAGAGAAGGGACAGGGAGAGACAGTGAGAAGGAGGGGAGGGAGGGAGGGAGGGAGGCAGGTAAAGAGAAACAGAGGGAGGGACGGAGGTAGAGAGAGAAAGAGAGAGAGATTGAAAAAAAATTTGTTTCACAAAAGTATTGCTGAGATGAACTGAGAATAATGGTCAGGGTTAGGAGCAGGAAGCTACTCAAAAGAGAAGCATCCAAATCTACACTGAATATTTCAGAAACATTTGTTCTGTCACAGGCGTCTGAACCAAAGCTACTTCATTTTGAATAGGGGCTGGGTAAAATAAGACTGAGACCTACTGGGCTGCATTTCCAGAAGGTTAGGCATTCTAAGTCTTAGGATGAGATAAAAGGTCGGCACAAGATACAGGTCATAAAGACCTTGCTGATAAAGCAGATTGCAGTAAAGAAGCTGGCCAAATCCCACTAAAACCAGGATGGCGATGAGAGTAGCCTCTGGTGGTCCTCACCATTACAGTCCCACCAGCACCATGACAGTTTACAAAAACCATGGGAATGTCAGGAAGTTACCCTACATGGTCTAAAAAGGGGAGGCATGAATAATCCAACCCTTGCTTAGCATATGATTAAGAGATAACCATAAAAATAGGCAACCAGCAGCCCTTGGGGCTGCTCTGCCTATGGAGTAGCCATTTTTTCATTCCTTTGCTTTCTTAATAAACTTGCTTTCATTTCACTCTATGGACTTGCCCTGGATTCTTTCGTGAGCAAGATCCAGGAACCCTCTCTGGGGACTGGATCAGGACCCCTTTCTGGTAACAGTCCTACAAGCCAACTTTCCTGCAAGGTGTTAAGGAGACTACTCCAAAAATAACTTTAAAAATTGTAGACTGCATGAAATATAGTTTGAAGACTCTAAATATCTCCCCCAAAAATCCATTTTTCACTTCCCTCTTCCTCATTTGAAAGGCCATTATTCTAAAATAGAAAAACAAAAAAGCAGGAAATGGAACTTTTTCAGATGCTACAAGCTGTCCACACTCCCACAGCACAGTGTCCTCCCCACTTGCCAGTGTCTATGGAAACTTCAAGTTGGGAAGTTCAAAGTTAAGGAATCTGTTTAGCCTTCAGCATTTATTCCTACATTGTACTCCAAGAGAGCTCCTTCCAAACTTAGGCCAGACTCCAGTGAGGGCAGGCAAGGGAAATACTTCACCAATAAGGAGGTCATGGTTTTTTTCAATGGATGGGAAGATCTCCTATTTCTTGTGTCTTTTGTGTATCGGTGCAATAGCCACTATTTGTGAATAAAACAACTGCCCACCCACCAGGCTTAGAAAATTATTCGCAGCCTAGAAACACAGTAGACATAAACTCTGAACAGCATTCCACTACCAACATTCTCAGTGATGTCATCCTCAGCGACCTAATTAGAAGCCTGATATGAGCAGGTTTTACAATGGGGTGAGAATGAAAGGAAAAAAGTTGACTGAAGTGAACATTTAAACTCTTCATTAAGCTATCTTTCTCATCTTCTTCAGAAGCCTCCAGGCAAAAGCAGTCATTTGTATCTTCACTTCTGTCATCACCTCCACTTTGTTAACAGGGCACTATTAGATCTCTACCTCAGTTAACCACTTAGTTACTTCAGGGATCCACTCAATGAAATAATATAATGGTATTTACTATTGCTATTGTTACCATTATTATTTTCATTATAAAAGACCAAAATAAATACCAACATGTTGGAGAGTGGTTATCTGTGAATGGTAGAATTACAAGTACTTTTCTCTTTTTTACTTCTCAGTTCAAATTTTCTGAAATAACATGTAACACTTTTTAAAAACGATTTTTTAGGCCAGGCGCGGTGGCTCAAGCCTGTAATCCCAGCACTTTGGGAGGCCGAGATGAGCGGATCATGAGGTCAGGAGATCGAGACCATCCTGGCTAACACGGTGAAACCCCGTCTCTACTAAAAAATACAAAAAAGTAGCCGGGCAAGGTGGCGGGCGCCTGTAGTCCCAGCTACTCGGGAGGCTGAGGCAGGAGAATGGTGTGAACCCAGGAGGCGGAGCTTGCAGTGAGCTGAGATCCGGCCACTGCACTCCAGCCTGGGCGACAGAGCGAGACTCCATCTCAAAAAAAAAAACAAAAACGATTTTTTAAAAGAAATGTGGCTTAAAGAAAAAAAAAATTCTCAACAAAATACTAGCAAGTCAAATTAATC